GGACCTCACTCGCAGCGCACAAATGGCTTGCGCTTGAGAAAAGAGCTCATAGAAATGCTAATGAGAATGAAATGGAGTGGGGTTTCTCCCCCCCCCACCCTGACAAAGAGGGCATTTGTCAATAATCACTCTCGCTGCAGGTGAGGGTATCCATTCAAAGCAGTAAACGAATGAGGCCAGCGGTAAACGGGAGGGGGGGCTCAAAGTTTGCGTGGAGGTAATGGACGGGAGTTGATTTATTCATTTGACGTTTACACCCAAGATTCTCCAAAGCAACGCTCAGTCTGGTTCCCAACTCGCCTGGTTCCCCTGCTGCCGCTGCTTTGACCGTGGGTGCACGAATGGCGACACCCAACACGTTCGTCCATAACACTGTAGACATCACATTCATACACGAATAGAAAATCGGCGACGTTTTGGGCAATGGTCCTATTTCACAGAACCAGTCTGCTCAGCGGCATGTCCTATATTTTCATAATTAACGCCACGATGTTATTGACGAATGCGTTGAGTTTGTTTCAATATATATTATATAAGCGGTATGAAGAGACGCGGCCACGTGGTTGTGACGCAGTGAGCAAGGCGATGAACTGGAGAAGCGCCGTGGGTGGTAATTGTGGCACGGCGGGGAACTTCCCCAGCTTTGTGCTTTAAAAGTGTCCTCCTCCTGATGGCACCCAGTCAGGCCAGCGGCATCACCACAGGCAGGTTTGATGGCAATCGTGAAGACCGCTTGGTGAACACATGTTGACCATCAACGGGCCGTCCATAAATGACGTCACGCGATTTTGGACGATTTTTGACCCCCCCCCTCCCCCCACTTCGTCACACAACGTCACAAAAAGTCAGACCCCCTCAAATATGACGTCACAAAGTTCTGCCCCCCCCTCCCCCCCACCAAATAAAACATGCTTCAAATCGCTTTAAACTATTGTCATTGTAGCGCGTATTTAATGTGGCGCTGCACTCTGATGTTGTAGGAGAAAACATTTATTAAAAAGTATATTTAATTAAGTATAACGTGTTGTTTATATTTATTTAAAGTTGCGCATTTTGATGTGACGTCACATTTCTCAACCCCCCCTCCCCTCGTCACACATCGTCACAAATGTCTGACCCCCCCCCCCCCCCCAGGTGCGTGACGTCATTTATGGACGGCCCCCATACGTTTGACGACGGTGAGGCTTGTGGGTTCCTGCAGCAGCTAACAATAGTTTTAGTTCGTTGTGAATGCGCTGCTGGATGAAGGCCTCCCCATGCAGTGAGTGTCAAGTGGATTGTGTAATCACACTTCAGTGGGGAGCGGTGGTGTAGTGGTTAGCGTGGACCCGGTGATCCAGGCTCGATTCCCGCTCACGGCCACCACCGGTGAAGATTATCTGAACCGGTCGGTCGTGGGCCTCCCCTAGGTCGACTGAGCCTCAAATGAGTACCCGGTGCGGTTTGTAATCATCGCTTCTCGGGAGACAAAGGCGGCCGGGCGTGGTGCTGGCCACCCACCCCCTCGTGTGCCGTGCCGGCCTTCATAGATGCTACTCGCTAAGAGCACTTGCCCCAACAGTCTGTTAAGGCTACACGGGGGATCTTTGTCATTGTAACCACGCTGGTCACAGTGCGGGTTCGTGGAGGGAGAAGCCGATAATGTTTGTCAGATCGCACTTGAATACTGATGTTAGTATCGGCCCGGAATCCAACTCATGTCGGGGGGGTTCATAGCGCAGTGCGCAAACCACCGCACCTCATCCCTCGTGGCTTGGGAAGTGAATAACAAACTAAATTGTATTTAATCCGAGGTAAAACTCGCAAGTGTCTACATTCCCACCAAGTGGTATACCAAGGTATTCACATAAAGACGTCACGTTTAGTATATCAGAAGTGTGTGAAACACTAAACGACTGCAAGTCAAATTCTTTCCACTGCCTCCTGTGGCCAACGGTTCAGAACCAAGAGCCCTGACAAAGGACATCAAAGAGAGCTGAAGAGAGGGCAAAGAGGCCACGTGGGGAGACGCTTGCATTGGATTACAGAAAGAGGAATTATTATTCTAATCGGTAAATGATGGGAAACCCTACAACAGAAACAATGCAGGCTGGAAAACAAAGAGCTCAGTCTTAAACATTACGCACAACCACTATTTCCTGAAGGACTGCAACGTGTTCGTCGTGGCTTATATCAACATCAATAAACTAACGTGACCAACCGAAATGCAAGCGGTGCGACAAAGAGACAGCTGCAGACGAGGTTGTGTTCATAATAGGACTCATCAGTTGAGTACAATCACCAATGCTTAGCTGTTGTCTCAAGGCTGCCTCTGGGAACTTAGAGTATGTATGAGACCCCACATCTACACGGTGAGTACCCACAAGCCCACAAGCCTGTCTCTTGACAGCAATCGTTCGAATCTGTAACTGACGAAAAAAGCTCACAGCAGAGACATGAGAGCAGGCTGGAAAGGAAAAGAGTAATAAATTGATTGGATAACATATGCACGTTCATAAGGGGCCCAGCCGGTGGAGAGATGTTAACTACCTCGCCTGTTATGTAGGAGGTCGTGGGTTACATCCCAATCCTGATGCCTGTATATTTAAAATTTTAGAAACATGCGTTTAGAGTACTGCATTTGGCTGCTATTAATTTCGTAATTACTTAATTGCACAACCTTAGGTTGGATATGAATGGGATGAAGTTGACTGGCCAGAATTTTAACTCACGCTCCCATCGCTGGAAGCTCTACTGAGCCACATTCTGGTCCTATTTTACGTAGCTGATCTCAGCCGCTATGACAAATGGATCAGAATCATCGACATGGAGAAGTGGCACGTGTGGAATACATTTTTTTGATTATTTATTTTCTTAAATGTTATTCACTGACAAGATTTGTATGATATAACAAAACTAAGTAATGAAGGTTTTAAGTGAATAGCTATTTTCCAATAAATTATCGCTTTGTTAAATATTTTTGGAGCAATTACAGTATATGACGCCATCACGCGCGAAAATGCCATTATTTAGCAATTGTGTAACTCATAGCAATGTGCGCAATGAGCCTTGTAGATTGTAAAGATTAGAAATGCTTATGGCAGGCTTATGTTAAGTAAACTGCGGTTGAAGATCGTTGAAGTAATAGCCCGGGGTGATATGGGGAGTGGAGCCATAGAGTCGATCCCGTCATCAGCGGAGGTTCGTCCCGTGATTGACATCACTTTACTTTGCACCAACTCGGTATGTGGGTGTGCCGCGGATGACTCAACTACAGTTTTTTTTATTTGACCAGATAAGGCACACTGAGCTATGTAACTCTTTTTCAGAAGCGACCTGGTCGCAAATGATAGCTCGACCAAGTGGCTCCTCGTCGTGTGGAAATGTAAAGCAGCCAAATAATCTAAACGCGTGATGCCGATTCTAAACGTGGAGGGGAAAACCGCAGGACCCGGAGAAAAAATCCACACGTCCACGGGGAGAGAGACACGCAAGCTCTAAATATGAAGCAGGCGTCAGGCTTGGGATGGAACCCACGACCTCCTGCATGCCAGGCGAGGGAGTTAACATCTAGCCAGGGTGGCACTAAGCGGTGGCGGGATTGTGTGCGACATCACGAGAGGAAGTTCCAGCTTCTGTTGTTCATCCAGAAATCTGAGACTTCCCCGAATTTCGAGGAAAGCCACAAACCACGCGTACAGGGATTATTGTAGCACGGATGTTTGGAGTCCTGCTCCAATCATTATTTGCACGGGAATAAAAGCAAGCTATAACAATAATTTGATAAAAATGTCAAAACCAATGACAAAGTTACGAGAAACAGATATCGCGATAATCGCCATGTCGTACAATGTGATATTGTATCATGAAAAAAATTATATCGTGGTAACCGTAAGAGGTAAACTCAAATGGATGAGAAAATCAATGTAGAGACATCATATTGACTGTCAATGAAAGTGGGTTTTGGCTCGGGCACATCGTGGACCAGTGGATGAGATGAGCTAAAGGCCGGAATGCGCACACTGCAGAGATGGAGCAATGAGATCAACTTATGTCCAGAATTTTGATTTAAAGCTTTCGTGACTGCAGGGATTCATATTCTTGGTTCTTTCGGTAAAGTCACGTAGAAGGGAAACAATTAAATAATAAAAATATGAAACAATGTTTTATATTTGTATTATAAAAAATGTTTTATATTTTTATTATAAAACAATGTTTTACTGGTAGGAACGAAGTTGTAAACTGAGTGTACCAGCCTGCAATAGATTAATGTGTCCGTCCGTCCGTCCCCTTTCAATACTTTAACGAAGTGAAATCTCGTGCTGTTGGGTGTAAAATCAGCAATAGACAGCGCAGAGACTTGTCCTACCAGTCCACCCTGCAGGGACCTGTTATATTTTTTTATTATTTTATTGTTTCCCTTCTACGTGACTTTACCGAAAGAACCAAGAATATTATGTCCAGAAGTGAGACTGTGGCATGTTTTACATTTAATTATCATCAAGTTCCATGGTATTCATTACACTCTCCCACTCTTCATATCCGGGCTATCTCTCAGGTTTCACTATTTACTTGCTATGAAATACCATTGGCCAAAATGTTGCCTTTTATGTATTTGCATTTTATCAGGTAAGGCCCTTATTTATATTTAAGGCAATGTTGTATAATATTCAAGTTATGTACCGCAGGAAATAATAATTGGCAAATCCCCCCCCCCTCACCGCCTCCAGCTCGGCTGACGGATGAACTAGTGGGGAAGGACGGAGAAAAACATTCCCTAGTTCAGCCCCGGACAGCTCCTGGTTGTTGTTTGGCCAGGAGATGATGGATGGAGTGACCAGCAGGAACATATTTAACTGAATGTCGAGAGGAGTGTCCATCATGCCACTCTACCTCGTCTGAATCACATCAGCCCAATGCACGTGTTCACAGAACAATCACATGGGACAGCTATAAACCAAACGAAGTTTTATTTTTCCCAAGTAAGACCAACCAAGCTATACCGCTCTTTTCCAGAAGCGACCTGGCCACAAATGATAGCTCGACCGTGTGGACATTTCTAGCAGTCAAAAACTCAGCCAAATACAACACATCCCAACGAGGGAGCAAAGACACATTCACACACCGATGTTCGAGCGAGGTGGGTCGTCTACAGTATGTGTAAAACTAAATATACCCGTGACAAATGTGACTCACAACGACCACAGCCCTCCAACGAACACACACGGTGTGTAATTCCAACGCCTCTCCCCTAAAATAGCCTTCCGCAGCAGCAGCTACATCAAAGCCCCCTGGTGCCTTTAAGAGAACGGCGGTGGGGGTCTAACATTGGCTGAAGGCAACCTCTACAGAAACAATCACACACGTTCACACACCCACTCGGCGCCTTCGCTACGAACATGGAGGATCTCAGAGTGCTCTTCAAAGGCAACAAAGTGTCGTACAGACCGGGCGACATCGTGGAAGGCGTTATTAAAGTCTATGTCACGGCTGCCGTCCCCTTCAAGGGTAAGAGGGGTGGGGGATGCTGGGTGATTGTGGAATGAATGATTTTGTGGATTTATTCCGTGACCTGGCGCAAAGGGAGAGGGGGGGATACGCGAGGCTTGTGCTTTGTGTGCGTGTGGTGGAGCAGCTGTTACGGTAAACACAGTACACAACTCGCTGTTCCACGTCGCGGTAGTTTAGACGTTTAAAGGGCGGCTGTGGAAGAGAGCCGGATTCGTCCGTGGTAGCGGTGGTGGTTACAAGTTAGAGTTTCTGAAACGACATCGCGAAATGTAAACAACAGGTAACGCGGGACAGGTGAAGGCAAAGGGCCGTGCCTGGGCCCTCTGCCGCTGCAGCTCTCAGTCCACGTTGCCCGTGAGGCTCCTCGCCTCTCGCTCAGGAGGCTCCTCGTGGTTGGTGTCGCGTGGGGTTCATCACTTTGGCGAGGTTGTGCATTTAAAGTGGGGGGTGGGGGGTTTATTTTGCGTTATGTTTTGAACCCTTTGTGTGCATTTCCGCACTGCCATTTTGCCAAAGCCTTGTGGCAGACAAAGGGAACTACAGCTCGCAGGTGTTGCCAGGCGCCCCTGAGCACAGCGGGCTGGGGGTAGCCAGTCGATTTGGGGGGTCCCGAAGCAGATTTACCTTTGGGGAGGGGGGGGGGGGTTGGGATCCCATCCCCTTTGGATGCACCACCTCTCACTAACGTGACGGCAGAGATGCGATATGTATGGCGTGAGATAGTAAGGGACGTAGGGTAGTCATGGTGGTGATGCAGTGACGTGAAAGAAGGGGCGTTGTGGACACGCTGTGGATAATTGAGCTCCATCGCCTTTTGCGTGAATTATCTAATTATGAGAATAGGTTTTCCCCTTTTATCTGGCAACAAAACAGGTGCTAAGATGTTAAAACACCAAACTGAAACCTTTTACGAGGAATCACGTCTGCATTAACCACCATACTTGCGGTTAGAATGCAAACAAAACACACACTCTGATAATATGTGGCATTGTCTTTGAAGCTGAATTGTCCACACCAGAGACAGCTTTCTTTAGAGCCTGGTCTCAAATGGTCGAGCGTTGTCTCTGGGCTGTACGCCGTTTGGCGTCCTCTGGTCTAGCACCAATTGAGACGTGGCTCAAAAGAAAGCCGTCTCTGGTGTGGACCAATCGGTTTCAAGGACGCTCTTCTATCTTATAGTTACATGCTAATTTCTCATATTAACATCACTAGCCCCGGCCACTTCTTTATAACCCTTGAGCTACACCCATTTCAAACCTTTTAAAACAGTCTGCCTCAGCAGCAAACCATGCTTTCCCACCTGATGATGGGCGCTTGTGTTGCACCCGAAACGTCGTGATTTCTTTTATTTTATACCTACGTGACTATGCATATATTCTCAGAGTGGTTTTTTGTTTGCATTTTGACCACGTATTGTGGTTAATGCACCCGTGATTCCTTGTAAAAAGGTTTCAGTTTTGTTGCCAGAAAAAAGGGGAAAACCTATTCTCATCAGTTTCAAAGACAATGCCAATATATTATCAGAGTGTGTTTTTTGTTTGCATTCTGACCACGAGTATTGTGGTTAATGCAGACATGATTCCTTGTAAAAGGTTTCAGTTTGGTGTTTTGTTGCCTGACAAAAGGGGAAAACCTATTCTCATATTTTGGTACTGGCAAAAGAGGTCACATGATATCTAATTATGCTCATGAACATTCCAGCCGATACTTGGTGCACCCATTATCTTTGTATGGATCTGGGATTCCTTAGTTGTTTGGTGCCCAAAATATCTGCAGAGTGTGTTGATGCCGCTGCCATTCAACATAGAATCAATGTATAGCACGACAGGGTCGTCCATCTTTAGATAACCCACCACAACGCTGTGATATAGAGATACAGAGAAAATGACATTTGATTTCACAGCCTCTACACGTTTCCCACAAATGTTAACAAACATTTACATCGTTTTACACTCTTCTCCGTAAGATGTGGGACCATCACTCAATGTGTGAATCACCTGTTGAGAAGAGGCCCATAAATCAATGGGGTATTAATATAAATGTTAATAAAAAAATACGGCAATTGTGATGAGCTTTTTTATGAATGCTTATTGAGGCAAAATCTCTTGCGAGGAAGATCTGGGATGAAAACCTGCTGTCATGTTTCCCACTCGCATGGGGGTCTGGCTTCCGAGTCCTTTGCACTCAATCCTGTCCTGGGCCATCCACATCCACTCCACAGGTCTTCATAACCTGCTTCATCACTGAAAACACCAAATCATGCCTCTAGATTTCTGCCTCTGGTGCTTCCACGGATCATCGCCTTGCTGTGTGGGTTTCCTCACTTTACGTCCGAGTCATCCGATTGGAATTTCTCTCAGCTTCTCAGAGATGGGTACTGCTCTCGCTGTCTTCCGTGTCTCTTCATCTCTGACCTCCCTGACCCGATATGGTCTTATGACTGCTGGGATGTATCTTACCATCCTCGTTTCTGTGGGCCATTCAGACCCAGATGTCATTTCAGTACTGCCCTAAGGTACCAAATATAAGAATACAACTTTATGGTACAAACAGTCACCGTGGAAAGCAGAAGGAAAAAAACATCTTCATATAGAAATGATATATGCTGACTATGAACAGAAATATAAAATATCATTGCTGTACTGTGTTACAGAACGGTACATTAATAATTACACGTGGGCAGTTACATTATTTTGAATGTACATTCTGGACACTTTAAACGTGGATAATCATGAGTAAAATCATTAAGTTGCGTTTTACTTAGGCAGTGTATTGTATATCATCCGATTAGAGGCCCATATCGTAATATTTTTTCCAACTTTATGAAGGAGAACTTATAAATTACCGTAGTATTGGAGAACCAAGCCGAATTTACCACTATTTCATCCACACTGGTATGGTAGTGATGCATCCTATTTCATGTACGTGACAGATCATCGACTTATTCCATAAATAAGTGATAGCTTCTAAAATTATGAATAAATATATTAAAAATGATTCCCCAAATGTTTAATTGGATTTTGAAATCTTGACTGGGATGTTGCTTCATTTGTAGAACTTATTACATACGGAGGACTTTACCATACACTGCAGTAATGCTGAAATCGCAGTAGATTTGAACAGTTCTGTACCATGATGTGGTTAACTGTACCGGATTTGCTTACATAACAGTATTGTACTATAAGGGAGATTGTGAAATGTGCGTACAGCTGGGATGATTAGGTCACTAAGTTTATTCATCGACAACAATTAGGTCTTGATTTGAAGCTTTCGTGACTGCAGGAATTACTCTTTGGTTCTTTCGGTAAAGCCTTAAATAGAGACACAGAGGCACTGGGTCTCTGTGTATCTATGTTGTGTGTCTCTCTCTACGTGTCTCTCTCTGCTTGTGTGTCTGTGTGTCTCCATGTCTGTGTTTTGTCTCTCAAATTTAGTTCTACCTGATGACGGTTGCTTGCGTTGCAATCGAAACGTTGTACTCTATTATTTAATTTATTTTCTTTCTACATGACTTTACCGAAAGAACCAAAGAGTAACAATTAGGTCATCAGGTTCACGCCTGACTCAAGTCTTACATCTCTTCTCACTGTCTATGTCCCCTCCACCAGTCTGGTTTCCGTCCGCTCCATTCCACCGAAACCGCTCTCCTCCATGTGCACAACCACTTGGCTAACTCACGTCACTCGGGCCTTTCATCTGTCCTCATTACACTCGACCTGTCTGCGGCTTTTAACACCCTTGATCACCCCATCCTCTTGTCCGCTCTGTCTCACCTCGCTATCTGTGGCATCCCACTTCATTGGCTCCGCTCTTACCTCACTTCCCGTTCATCCTGTCTCTTTAAACCGTGGTTCTCCCTCCCCCACCACGGTTGGCACCCACCAGGGTTCTGTACTGGGTCCTCTCCGATTCTCCCTCCACACATCTCCCCTCGAGCCCATACTCTCTCATTTCAATCTCTCGTATCACCCATTTGCCGACGACACTCAAATCTTATTTTCCTTTAAGGATTTTACGCCCGACCTTTCCGACCACGTATCATCCTGCCTAATGGCCATCCAAACATGGATGACACCAATGTCCTTTCCCTTCACCCTTCTAAAATCACCGTCCTCTACTTTCTCGCCTCCGGCTCTCCTCCTCCTAACCCCTCCATATCTTTCCTTCTGCTCAGTCTCACTCTGATCGCTGCCGTCCAAATTCTTCATGTCACGTTTGATTAATAATTTTCCTTCACTTCCCACATCGCCACCACCACTCGCACGTGCCGCTTCCATCTTTTCGATATCAGGAAAATTCGTCCCCTCATCACCATCACCGCTGCCAAACTTCTCGTGCACCCCCAGGGGCCTTCACTCGTCTGGATTATTGCAACTCGCTCCTCGTCAGTCTCCCTGCCTATGCCCTTGCCCCTCTACAACAAATTCAAAATTCAGCTGCACGCACCGCCGTCTTTACCTCTGAAACGTCGTGATTTAATTATTTTCTTTTATTTTGTTTTATTTTATCTACGTGACTTTACCGAATAAAACCAAAAAGTATGAATCCTTGCAGTCACGAAAGCTTCAAATCTAGAATTAATCTAAATTGTCTTATGGTTGTTGTTGTTGGCTTGCACTACATTGTGATTTTTGCACACAGCGTTTTAATACGTTTTTTTTGTGTGGAATAGTTGGTGGTTTATTCCAGGATGTTTCTGTTACTCGTTGTTGCTTTGGGATGGTCTGTGTTCAAATTTTGTTTGTTGTGGTTGCACCCGACTTAAGAGCCGCATGGCTCACAAGGCTATACCTAATAAATGAAACTTGAAAAACTTGAAAACCAAGCCCTTGGGAACAGCACACGTGGGGAATTGCTAACGTGAATCTCCTTTAAAAACCGCGTTTTGCGTGTTATCTGATGAAGTGAAATTCAAAGCAGCAGAGTCGTTGATTACTTAAACGGTGAGATAGCCCATGAACACAGTCTGCACGGGCGTAGACTGTCCATGAAAGTTTCACCGAGACCAATGTAATGTATTTCAGGAGGGCCCAGCATTGGGAAGTTTTCCAATATATTTATGATGGTTTTCCCTCGGGGAGGAAACTGGAGTACCTGGTTTGCCATATGCCAACTAGCCACAATAAAATCGTAATTTGATTATTATTCTTGTAGTACCGTACTGCATGCAGTATGTGTACTGTACTTTATAGTTTAACTTTTCATCACATTTGCACGCAGTACAAGATTGTATTCTGCTGTAGTCCTGTATCGTAGCTTATTCTGGAAGTTTAAAATAATGTTGTTCTGCAAGAGATTAATGGAAGCGTTTTTTTTTATTTTAGATGTACACTTAGTATATGAGTGGTTACATTCCATACTTGTGTTCACGTTTACTTACATAATATACACGGCGTTTAGACACGAAATGCATTGCACAAGAACATTACACAGATAGAACTGCACTACACTCGTGTGTATGCGTGTGTGTATGTGTGTGTATGTGTGTGTGTATGTGTGTTACATCTTGGGGTGCGACAGGGATGTCCGCTGGTTCCCACATTATTTAACATCTATTTTGACCACGTAGTTCGTGCAGCCTTCGATAGCTGTACCGGGGGAATCTCCATATGGTACAGATATAATGGGAGGCTGATCGATGCCCGAGTGCGGTCAAGGGATGGCTCCCTATTGCTCAACCACGTTATGTATGCCGATTATTTGGTAATAGCTGCTCATTCAGAGGAGGAGTTGGAGACGCTGCTGCTGAAACTGGAGCGTGCCACTAAGAGATGGGGCCTTACCATCAGCCCCACCAAAACTAGGCACCTGCCTGGGTATTTTGTACCATCAGACACTCCACCCCCACAACTCCCAATCGGTAATGGGGCAGTTGTGGAGAGAGTGGAGAGTTTCCCATACCTGGGTAGCGTGCTTATGACCGGCTCCAGTTTAACAGCAGAGGTCTCACTCCGAATCAGTCGAGCGGCAATATCTTTTCATCGGTTGCGTAACGCTGTGTGGAAGCTACCTGGTCTGTCGCTCCGCACTAAGCTTCAGGTCTTCTCGGCCACGGTCATTCCCTCCCTTCTCTACGTTTGCGAAACGTGGACCCCCCTAATGGAACATCTTCGCCGGTTAGAAACATTTAGGCTAGCCTACCTACGATCCATCCTGGGTTTAACCAGGCTGGATTGTGTGAGGAGCTCACAAATCCTTGAAAGATCTGGGCAAGGTCCCATCGGTGAGCTCCTCCGGCAGGCAAGGCTGCGTTGGCTGGGTCATGTAGCCCGCATGCCCAGCCACCGCATGCCTAAACAGATTTTGTTTGGCCGGATCGAGGGGGCTAAACGGGCGCGGCACGGGCTAGAAAGGAGATGGAGTGATGTGGTACAGGAGGACGTGGAGCTGAGTGGACTTGCCGATGATTGGTACCAGCGGTGTCAAGATCGGCCTCTGTGGAGAAGGCTCGTGAAGGACGCTACTAGCAGTTGGAGGTAGTCGCCCTCCAACAACAACGGATGGCGGAGGAGCGATGCTCACAACAATGAGCGGAGCGCCGGGTGGCTAAAGCACAGCAGGTTGGCACAGTAGGGGGCACAGGTGGTGCATCAGCCAGCCATCTCAGTCAGTCGATCCGTGGCACCTGGGTCTGCTCCGTGACCTCCTGCCAGCGGGCGTTCGACACTTCACGTGGCCTCAAGGTGCACATGGCCTGGCACAAGCGTCGTGGTGACGTCACCGACACTTAGTGGCGAATAGCGGTTGTTGTGTATGTGTGTATGTATGCATGTGTGTGTATGTACATGCGGTAGTGTAGCGGTTAGTGCGCTGCGCTACGAACCCAGCGACCAGAGTTGGATTCCTGCTCACGGCCAACACCGGTGACGATTATCTGAACCGGTCCTGGGCCTTCCCTAGGTCGACTCAGCCTCAAATGAGTACCTGGTGCGATGTGTCAACATCGCCACTAGGGAGACAAAGGCGGCCGGGCGTCATTTTGGCCACCCACCCTCTCGTGTGCTGTGCCGGTAACAGCACTTGCCCCTACAGTCTGTTAAGGCTATGTGGGGGATCTTTGTCTTTTGTATGTACATGCACGCTCGTGTGGCTGGGTCATGTAGCCCGCATGCCCAGCCACCGCATGCCTAAACAGATTTTGTTCGGCCGCATTGAGGGGGCTAAACGGGCGTGGCACGGGAATAGAGAAGAGATGGAGTGATGTGGTACAGGAGGATGTGGAGCTGAGTGGACTTGCCGATGACTGGTACCAGTGGTGTCAAGATCGGCCTCTGTAGAGGAGGAGGCTCGTGAAGGACGCTGCTACTGGGCAGTTGGAGGCAGTCGCCCTCCAACAACAACGGAGAGCAGAGGAGCGATGCTCACAACAATAAGCGGAGTGCCGGACGGCTAAAATGCAGCAAGTTAACTCAGTAGGGGGTACAGGTGGTGCATCGGCCAGTCATCTCAGTCAGTCGACCCATGGCACGTGGGTCTGCCCCGTGACCTGCCGGCGGGCATTCGACACTTCACATGGCCTTAATGTGCACATAGCCTGGCACAAGCGCCGTGGTGATGTCACCGCCACTTCGTGGCGAATGGCGGTTGTTGTCGCACACTCGTGTGTATGTGTGTGTACATGCACACTCGTGTGTGTATGTATGTAAATGCACACAACAGTGACATAATGTTGATACCACCTCAGTGAACAGACTTGGCGCAACGCTTCAAACCACATGCCAACGTTAGTCGAACGTTGGCATGTTACTCGAACATTCACATTAGGAAGGACTATACTGTAACGTGCATGAATGAGGTCCAGTTAAAACACTTGGCAGTATTAATGACAGTACAATACGGTATTTTCATAATTAATTAACCTGTACTGGTTCAGCAATGGGTATTTAATTGCGAGTCTTCAATGTGGAAAGTACCTTCCCACATCTGGCTCACACAAGGGCTCGGTGAACTCTTTGGGTTCAAGCCTCGCGATGTATCAGCGCACGTGCCACCACTGGCGGCGTGGATGGTCTTGTATTGTGTTATATTATTATTACCCATTTATTTGTGGCCTGTAACACATCAGAGGTTTTCCACCGATTGTAAATTACAGCTTCAGCAATCCGGCTTCCCCCTCGCTCCAAACCACAACGTTACTCAAAAGCACTATGTTAATCCATATGAGTGAGTGGTATATTATTCTTGTCAACGATCTCACCAAAAATCCACACGGCCACATTGTGAACTGCAACGTGATTTCATAGAGTACCGTTCACACAGGGCCTTGTACCCTGAACAAACCCTTTAATTAATAAAACTGAATCAAACCTTTAACAGATAAAATGGAATGCTCTTGGAGGTGCGGGAAACAGTTGTTCTTACCCTGATTTATATTTGCTTCATTGCTGTACCTGATTTGCTATGTTTTGCTTGTCATTTTGTTGACCTGGGTCAGTCTGACTTAATGAGACTTCACCAGGTCCCTTAAGTTCCCACCTGGTTAGACAAACACACTTGAAACTGGAAACTGTCAAAACACTTGAAGGGTCCTCCGACTCTGAATTAGCCCCAAGTATTTTTCACGGTTGCGGAGGGACAACTTCCCCAGTTTCACACGAACATTTGATGTCATTGGTGCTCTTTTTGCACAGTAAGAAGGTGCAAAAACTGCAACTGACATATCCTGCTGATGTGCGTTTTGCCCTGCGGAATAACAGGACTTGTGCACGCAACATAAATCATGGTTAATAAACTGAGGAGAATCCCATATACATTGTCACTTCTATTCCAATAAATTAATTGTGAATTCTTTGTACCTGGTAAATAATAAGGCAAATAAAATAGATAAAAATGCTGCAAGCACAGATGAATGCAGCAGAATTATAGTGCAGTACTGTACAATTATATATATAGACTTATAGGCCTCAGAAATGCAGATAGATCAGCAGTCTATTTTCTGTACTGCCTCCTGCATGACATCTCCACCGCTGTTGCTATGTTGGGAGTTATCTAACGCATGCAATCATTCAATGCCTGCACGATCCACCAGCCAGCCCTGTGCTATGTCGAAGAGTAATTGTCTGAAACGTCACCTAACCTACGCTTTGTAGATGCAGTGTTATTGATTAATGTGAGTTTTGTTGTTGTTAATAGTGCTTGCGTACCACTGCAAACTCGGCACCATCGCACTAATAAATTGGTCACAAGGTGTGTGTCACGACGCTTGGCGCAGGTAATGACGCTGATGTTTTTGATGTTGCTGATGATAGTGTTTGTGCGTCGCTGCAGCAATCCGTGTGCGATGCGTCGGGCGTTGCGACATTGGGCCGCGGTCAAAGGCCGAGCCGGACGTCATGGAGCAGTACATCAACGAGTTCCAAGTGGCCTGGGGAAAAAGTAAGAGTGCGCACACGCACACTTCCAAACTTACAAAGATTCACCTCTACACATATGCCCAGAAACCAATTCGAACACTTCCTGCAGATAATGAAAAACTCATCAGACAGACATTCCCATTCATAAAAACGCTCAAATCGAGCTGTCAGTTGGTGGGATAAAAGGCAATCGTGGCTTAATTTTATCACTGTGTAGACCGGAGTGAGTGACACGGTGAGTAGTAGCCACTGCCATAGTAAGAAGAATACTGGATGTGGTGTGCTGTATGAAGAAATATTCCCAGTTCTCCTACCTGGATAGACCCCGGCTTAAATCAATCTTTGGAGCCAGCGATGAGTGGACGAAACTATCTTGAGCTTCGTCAATGCTGACATCACACCAGCAGTTTGAGATCGTGAGAAAAAAATGACGTGTCCTGAAGTCAATCTCTCGCAGAGATCAGAACACGATGTTCAACACATTTCAGACATTGTTTGCAATTCAGTGCTCGTGGCCTTGTTTAATCTATTTGTTATAGCCACGTTAGGACTTTGTGAGCCCTGCTGACTCTTCCAGGGTTTTTCCTGCCCTTGAACAAAGAAAAATATTTGCGCTTTATTACAGTGCGGTGACGTCCATGGCAAACAGTTAGGTTTGAGAGGGGCTGAACGCATTGATCGTGGTCGAGCGCCTGTCCCAATAAGGACTCGAGTAAAGCTGTACGTTGTGTTTTGTTCCCGGATGTGGCCCCATGGGTCAACCTGAACAGGACACACTCCGCACTCCACGCACCACACTCCAAGCTCCATGCATCATGCACGTTGTCTGCCCGAGCTGTGGTTGTTTAAGGCCGTTGTGGACCATTATGGTTGCATTTGCGTCGGAAAGTGTGTTTACCTGCCGCGCAGTGGCGACGCAAGCAACAAAGAACAGAAGTCGTGGCTGGAGTAGGCCCTGCAAATTCATGACTGAGAAGTCCTTTGCAGCTATTTCTGGAAAATATAATAAAAAAAACTCTGTCGCTCGTATCGTGTGGTTACGTAACTTAACCCTTTCCCGTCCCGATACTTGGCATTAATTTTATATATAGAGGCTTAGCGCCGCTGTTTTTAAAGACATTGTACTCACAGCAGAGAACCGTAGCGACACGTACGCATTTTTATGATAGCTGGTGCCAAACTGTGCTACACTCCCTCCCACATGGCCTTGTGGGAGCCTCGGTACGTCTTCTGACTTGAAGACGGAATGATAAAGTTATTTTATTTTAGTTTTTTCGATGACGTACACGTACACTAATTCAATAAGTTAATTCAAATGAGAATGGGTTAGGCTGTGTGTCTCGTGCTGTCCCGAGTCTGGAAGGAGAGGAGGCCAATTGTATAGGGCTGTCCCTATGAAAATGGACTTGGAACGTTAGGCAGCTTGTTGTTTAATAGAGGTGACATTAGCATCTCACCAGAAACTGTGGAACTAAGTGCCCTTGTTTCATTTTAGTTGTTAATAGATAATAATATTTCAAACTAGATTCGAAGCTTTCGTGACTGCAGAAATTACTCTTTGGTTCTTTCGGTAAAGTCACGTAGAAAGAAATAAAATAAAATAATAATAGAATACGACGTTTTGATTGCAACACGAGCAACCATCATCAGGTACAAACGAATGAGAAAACAAACCTAGCAAACTTAGAAATATTTTGCAATACAACACAGAGAGTTGGCCAACACAACAGTCAACACCCTAACCTGGTTGATTACATTCTTCCAAAGATTGCTAAATGTGAGAGAGAGACAAAACATAAACATGGAGACACACAGACAGACACACAAACAGAGAGAGACTATGTGTGTGTGTCTCTCTCTCTGTTTGTCTATGTGTGAGTCTCTCTCTGCTTGTGTGTCTGTCTGTGTGTCTCCGTGTTTGTTGTGTCTCTCTTTCAAATTTAGCAATCTTTGGAAGAACGTAATCAACCAGGTGGGGTGTTGACTGTTGTGTTGGCCGACTCTCTGTGTTGTATTGCATTGTATTTCCAAGTTTACTAGGTTTGTTTTCTCATTCATTTGTACCTGATGATGGTTACTTGTTTTGCAATCGAAACGTCGTATTCTATCTATCTGAATACATTAACGATTCTATCTAAAGAGACTAGCAATTCTATTCAAATTGTGTAGCCTAATATATGTGAATACATTAACGATTCTACCGGAATAGATTAGCGATTCTATCTGAAAAGGTTAGAAATTCCCAAAAAGATACAAGAAGATTATTTAATGTAGCCACTTGCTTTAAAAAAAGATTTGAATGCTTTTTGCTGCTTTTTTACAATAACAAGATGCATGCATTCAGCAAGATAATTATAGTTAATATATTTATTTGTTTGGGATAATACCCCAATGCCCCATACAGACCAACCACTACCATTTGAAGTTGTGGCTTAGCTTGCCATACAATTACTGTCGAGATGCTAGTCCCAGTTTTAACAGTGTTATTGCAGTAATGTGACAAAGGAGCTAGGTTGCATTAATGAAGCTTTAACTACTTGTCAGATCGCCTGGGACACGAAGCTGATCAAAGTTTGTGCAATAAGTTTTTTGGGTTTGTAAAATCCGAGCTCATTAATCTATTTAAATACTGCCTGTTATCATAAGTTAAGTTATTTGCCTGTATCAATCATTTTCTGGATTAAGGCGTTCTCATGCCATGTCAGTCATGGGGGTTGTTTGACCATACCTCACCAAGTTGGTGCGAGTGGGTTAATGAAGGTGGAGCAGCGACTGGTTCACACGTGACGTGCCACTCATGGCTATCGCCATGGCTGTGAGTTGGACTCAGGTGGCCGGGTTCATATAGCGCAAGTGCGCTATTTAATTCGCCGCCGCTCAACTAGACATGTTCGGGATGCGGTCACTTGGGCACAAGTAGCCATTGATGCAGATACAGCTTTCAACTGGAACTCTCCGTTTCTTGAATGTTCCAAGGACATCACCCAGGATGTGGATTGTTGCTTTGAAACCGCAAAACTGCAATGTAATAAAAATCCGAGGCATTTTAATCGTATTCGGCCTTTTGCACGAACAATAACCCTTCTATTTAGACTCCAGTGTTGGCATAGCAGTGGTTCAGCTTTCATTCGTGGTGCTTTTTAAAGCCTGACGTATAATTGTTAAACTTGTTCTGCCTAAATGTGGCGCACGTTATTTATTTATTTTGTTTATTTTCGCAAAACCCTGCACAATGCGGGCATTGTTCAGATTCACAATGTGCACTCCCCGTAGCCTCAAAATAATTGTCTCCATTTTTTTCACAAATAGAAAATAATATAACTTACAGAACCGCTGCTAATCCATTGCTTTATCATCTTCTTCACGTGAATGCACCACAAACTGTAATTCGTGTTCTTAAACCTTTAGTGCAGTACATTAGTACCGACACGGAGCGCTGTAGTGGACAATTCTGGGTAGTAAATTTACTTAATAAATTCACGTGAGAGGTTGGTAAAGGTGCAGCCCTGCAATTGCCTGCTCATGCCACTCATGGCAGAAAGGCCTCCACGAGAGGGGGCTCTGGAGGAGCCCCTGTAGGGGTACTTTACACGCGACCTGCCAACCGAGTAACTGGGAACTCACTTGTCCTGCTGCGTGGACAGAGGCGGGGGAGATGGAATCTAACTGGTCATTTCTGGATTACACGTCCAGGGCACTATTGCGTCGCGGCAGTGTCCTTGATTCTGTAGCTGTACGTAAAAAAATGCATTTTACCTGCCTGTTGGCCTTCCAGACTTATGTTAAACGGCATTTGTTAAGCACGCAAACTCTCTCATTTGTTAAGCACGCAAACTCTCTCATTTGTTAAGCACGCAAACTCTCTCATGGTCGCTGCCTGCTGGGTCTCATCAGAAAAGTGGGAAACTTAATTACTCTATATTGGTTTCGGATATGTGAACACACGCGTGCATTCGCAGGGTGAATTCACGACTCGCATGTGCCATTGTAATCGTTGCACATTGACGAGTTAATTTACAGAGCAGTGCACCTGCTACTGCGGTGATTCATTGTTACACCTCAGCCACTCGTTGCTGCGTGATGACTATTCATATGGGTCCCATTATCGTTCCTTCATTCGAGTGCTATGTTTGAATGAGTATATGCCGCTCACCTAAAGACGCGCATTTGTCATCCTGGGTGTTAATGAGGCCCTTGTAACCCCGTAGTTGCTCAGTTTCTCGAGCTCTGCCAACGAAAGTCAACCTCTTAGCAGTCACTAAGCGCACTCAAGTTATATTGCCACCCCTGTTTTCTTAAATAATTATACATCCACTTGTGTTTTTTTTACCGTATAAACTCCTCCCTACGTCGTGTCCATCAGCGGGAGGTTGACCAGACCTCACCCCGCGCTGGCCAGGGCCGGGTGGTGGAGGGGGGGGGACCGGCTCGGGTTTCGAGTGCCGCTGATTCTCGCCACTGTGGTGGGCCGATCTCCCTCGCCTCCCTCGCCTCGCCTCCCTCCCTCCCCTCCCTCCCTCCCTCCCCTCCCTCCCCTCCCTCCCTCCCTCCCTCCCCTCCCTCCCTCCCTCCCTCCCTCCCTCCTTCCTTCCCTCCTTCCTTCCCTCCTTCCCTCCCTCCCTCCCTCCCTCCTTCCCTCCCTCCCTCCCTCCCTCCCTCCTTCCTTCCTTCCTTCCCTCCCTCCCTCCCTCCTTCCCTCCCTCCCTCCCTCCCTCCCCTCCCTCGCCTCCCTCCTTCCCTCCCTCCCCTCCCTCGCCTCCCTCCCTCGCCTCCCTCGCCTCCCTCCCTCCCCTCCCTCCCTCCCTGGTTTGCTTTAATAGACAAATAAAGTAACCCCTGATAGCGGTGGAAGACTCTGGACAAAATGACCTTGTTCTGACAATTATGCCCCTCCTGTCATTTGAAACAAAAGTTGGGGGGTGCATTTTGTGGCCAGCTAAATGTTCTTGTGTGTGATACCAGATTTGTAAACGGTATCTCTATTCACACTCACAGGCAGACCCATAACTCCCCCAGGCAGTA